TTTTTTTTTTTTTTTTTTTTGAACTGGGGATTGAACTCAGGCCCTTGCACTTGCCAAGGAAGCACTTATTCTGTTGAACCATCTCCCCGGCCAATTGTATTTTTTGTTTGTTTTCTCCTGCCTCAGCCTCCCAAGTACTGGGATTATAGGTGTGCCACTATGCTTGACCAGATCTACCAAGTATAAACTATAGTTTATTTAATTTACTTGGTACAGGTTCTTGCTACACAGCTCTCGGACTCATAGTGATTCTCCTGTCTCAGCCTCCCCAGTGCTGGGATTACAGGCGTGTGCTGCCATATGCGGGTTTGGTGGCTGGCAAGCATGCCTGGGCCAGCACTGCAGTCGGTACTGGGGATAAAACCCAGGTCCTTGTGCTTGCCAGGCAGGTGCTTAGACTGCCAAGCTACCGCCCCAGCTGGTTTATTTTATTTTATTTTATTTTTTAATTTAAATTTTATTTATTTGTGTGTGTGTGTGTGTGTGTGTGTGTGTGTGTGTGTGTGGCCAGCTCAGCCCACCAGGGGCCGGGGCTGGCTGGCATGTGGTGCTGGGGGATTGAACCGCGGTCCTTGTGCTTTGCTAAACTTGTTCTGAGTAGGTGCTTTAGACCACTGAACCATCTCACCAGCCCTGGTTTATTTTAAAGGTAGGAGAAAAAAGGGGATGAGAGAACTTGAACTTCTTATGAACAATATAATACTGTACTTGGGATTTTAGATTTTTTTTTAATTTAGGGAAGGGTCTACAGAATGTTCAGGGTCTCACTACTAGATCAGACTCTAGTGACCCACCTGTTTATAGCCTCCCAAGAGCTGGGATTACAGGCGTGTGCCCAGTGTCTCATTTGGGATTTTAAAATCTGACTTCTTTAGACTTTTTTTTTTCTTTTTTGAGACAGGGTCTGGCTATGTAATGCAGGCTGGTCTTGGGCTCACTAAGTTGTCCTGGCTGGCCTCAAACTCATAGTGATCCTTCTGCCTCAGCCTCTTGAGTGCTGGGATTATAGGTTTGTGCTACCAGTCTGACTAGGTTTGAAGATGTTATCCTTTTACCTGAGCCTCCCAGAATTCTGGGACTTATTGGGGTTTAATTTGAGTCCACAGGTCAATTTAAGTGGCTTCACCTTATTTATAGTGTTATATATTTAATATAAATATGGGTGATTATATATAATTATATGACATATAATTGGCTATCTATTTACCATCCTGTTTGTGTTCTTTGTTCTGCTTTTTTTTAATGGTACTACAGATAAAACTCAGGGCCTTGTGCTTGCCAAGCAGGCACTTACACCTCTGAGCTATCTCCCTAGCCGTGTTCTGCTTATTATTTATTCTTTTTTCTTTCTTTTTGGTTCTTAAATTTATTTTTGAGACAGAGTCTTGGTATGTAGTTCAAGCTGGCCTCATACTCATGGAGATTCTCCTGCCTCAGCCTCCTGAGTGTGGGATTACAAGTCGACACCACCATTCTCAGCTTATTGTTTTTTTCCCCTTTTGTGGCTTTTAATGGTGTTTTTTCTTCCCCTTCTCCTTTTCTCATGTGGAGACTGTAAACTGTGCTGTTATTTAATGATTTTCTAGGAGTTTTCATTTGACTAATTGAGGTCCAATTTATTTAATACAAATGTCTTCCAGATGGTTTAAAATATAAGAACACACAACTGAGCGTAGGGGCACATGCGTGTAATTCCAGAACTCTGGAGGCTGAGGCAGGAGAATCAGTGTAGCAAGTTCAAGGCCAGCCTGGGCTACATAGTGAGTTCAAGGCCAGTTTAAACTATATAGTGAGACCCTGTCTCAAAATAACAACAACAACAACAACAACAACAACAAAATGACCTACGAGAAATGTGAAGATGTCAGATATGCCAGGTTCGTGTTGCCGAAGTTGAAGAATGAATTCTAGGGAACAAAGGAGGTTAAGTGTAGGGAAATTTATTTGAGAATAGGAGTAGGGAATTAGAGGGCTGGTGAGATGGCTCAGTGGTCTAAAGCACCTACTCAGAACAAGTTTAGCAAAGCACAGGGACCGCGGTTCAATCCCCCAGCACCACATGCCAGCCAGCCCTGCCCCCTGGTGAGCTGAGCTGGTCACACACACACACACACACACACACACACACACACACACAAATAAATAAATAAAATTAAAAAAAAAAAAAGGAGTAGGGAATTAGAATAGCTCCTGAGAGACAGGAGGGGTCCCCAATGGGTTGCCAGTGAGCCCACTTCCCAAAGGAAGCTTTACAGAGCAAAATCATGAGAGGGGTACACTGTGGGTCAAAAATAAACCAGGCACATTACAAGTATGGTCACCTAGGTAACACTCATCCAGTGTAACAGGGCTTATGGGTGGTGTCATCAACCTTGGTGGATAATCTGCAGTCTTAGTCTAAGTGGGTGAGAGAAGATGGCCCAGCCCTACAAGGCAATGGGAAATCTCAACGGGATGGTGTCCGTAATCTCAGGCTTGGGTGTACTCCTTAGGGAAGCTGCATCAGTCCGACCACTGGGACTTTACTCTTCTTGACCTGCCCCCACCCCAGCTGGGATGTGTTCTTCTACACCGGCTCCTTCAGGCCAGCCCTGTCTCACTGCCTACGACATTTCTACCTAACTTAGCTGTCCACAATAGAAACATTTAAGAACACGTTAGCCCCACCGAACCCCCTCTTTTATCTCACTTTACCCAGATGGTAACCTCTTTTTGTCACTTCCATTGCTTATTGTATTTTAGAACTTTCTTTTGAAATTAATTTCCTTGTGTGTGTGTGTGTGTGTGTGTGTGTGTGTGTGTGTGTGTGTGTGTATGTGAGAAACCAGGGATTGAACTCAGACCCTTGCGCTTGCCAGGCAAGTGCTTATTCTACTGAGCCATCTTCCTGGCCCACCATTATCTGTCTTGATACTCAAATTTTTCTTGACTCGACCAGGGGCCTCCTGCTTGTTGAACCTTCCTATCTTTCTCACAGGTGCCCACTTTCCTTTGCCCTCCCTCCCTGGTTTCCAGAGACCTCTCAGGCCCATCTGGGCCTCCCAGCCCTCATCCGGGACCTGCCGTTCTGTGTGCGCGGGGAGCTGTGTCTGGAAGCCAAGATCAGGCCCCCACTGTGTTCACTTCCCTGACGGCTCGCCCCACCCTCCAGCCCTGGCAGTTCCAGCCTGGGGGCCTCTGGAGTCCAGGCTTTCCTAGGCTTGGTGATCGTGACCTCAGAAGGACAGAGATCTGCTGTCCTCCTGTGTCCCCTCAACACTCATAGATAAAGGGCCTTTCTTGGCACTGCTCAATGAGTGGCCTCGCCTTGAGGCTGGCCATGCGACCCTCTCTCTGGCCAGGCGAGGGTCCTGGTGCAGGACTGGGAAGCCCACCGGAGACAAGGCTCTTTCACCCAAGGAAGTGGGGCCTTGGGGCTGGTGGACCACAGCTGCCCAGTGTGAGGGGACAGGCTGGGCTGCACCCTGGGAGGACTGGGGAGCAGGCAGTGGTCTGCACAGGGGACCGGAGTGGCCTGCATATAAGGCAGGGCTTGCCACATACCAGCTCCTCCACTGATGTGGAGGAGGGACTCTGGTGACAAGGGCCTGGCCCCGCAAGGATGGGGCCCTCATGTTCCAGAGTGTGCCCCCCCCCCAGAGTTGGGGGTGTGCGCCCTGCACTGTTTAGTCTGGCTTCAGGGCATTAGCCCTGGGTCAGTGGGAGTGCGTACCAGGGTGTCTGAGTACCCCTCTCTCTCTCTTTCTCTCCCATGGAATGGTGCCCTGCAGGATCCTCCGAGGAAGGGACTGTGTCTCCGGAGAAGGTGCCAGAGAGGAGAGATGAGGGCAGCAAAGTGGCTCTGGTATGGCTGGCTCCTTCCTGCTCCCGGGAGCCCCTTCCCTGCCCCTCTGCCCTGAACCCGAGCCCCCCAGCTGGTGTCCTCGTTCTTTGCTCTGCCCTCCACAGAGCCATGGCTAGCTCATTCTGGCTCCTTGTCCGTCCGTCTCACAGAACTAGCCTTCCACCGATCAGGGGTTTTGTCTGCCCTATTACTGTGCCCACAGCACTGAAGGCAGGGCTTGCCACACACCAGCGGTGCTATGAATTCCTTCTTCTGCAGGGGGTTGCTGGGGATTGAGCTCAGGGGTACTTATCATTGGACTGTGCCCCTTCCATCACTGAGTGGTCCTGGCCAGCCTCAAACTTTTTTTTTTTTTTTTTTTTTTTTTTTTTGTGGTACTGGGGATTGAACCCAGGACCTTGAGCTTGCCAGGCAAGCACTTATTCTACTGAGCTATCTCCCCAGCCTGGTCTTAAACTTGTGATTTTCCTTCCTTCTGAGGAACTGATTATAGGCATGTACCACCATGATCAGCTGAATACATTTTTTTAAAAAATCCAAATGAAAAAAAAAAAATAAATATCTGAATGAATTGTGGGAGGTGCTGGGAAGGGGACAGAGCAGCTAGCAACGGCCTTTTTGAGGCTATGGTCAGGCAGGACCCAGGTCTCGGGGGCATAAAGCATCACTTAGTTGGACAAACCAGGGAGTATGAGTGTGACTCCAAGCGTGAGCTGACTGGTGGGGGGACAGTCTGGAAGCATAGCACCCCAGGCCAAGCAGGAAGGACCTGTGAGGAGCCAGATCCCCCGCCTCAGGCCCTCGGCGTGCGCCTCCTCTGATGAGGAAGGTGGAAGATGGATAATGCAGGCAAAGCGTGGCCCAAGAGGACTGTCGTTGCTGTCACTGTGGGTTGGGGGATGGACAGATCCTCCTCCAGCTTCTTCCTGTCCCTCAGGGCTCATCCCTGCCTTTGTGCTGGCAGAGGGTCTTTGCCTCACAACTGGGGGCTGGCATCCCAGCCCACGATGCGCAAGTTGAAAAGTTCGCTGGGGATGGAGGCGCAGGCGTGGTGCTGGGGAAGTCAGCCGGGACCCATTAGGGCATATCTGCTGGCATGGCATGGACAGATGCCTGGTTCCTGGGACATCAAGAGTGCTGCTGCCCTCACACGGCCGTCGCTGCCTTTCTTCTTTCCTCCAGCCTGGGCTTCCTCTCCATATGGAGCCCTGCTGGTAAAAACCAAGACTGCTTGAGGTCTGACTGGCTGGACCCTGCCTTTCTTGCCTGTGTGACGCTCTTTACTGACTTTGTAACAAAAAGCCCCCCCCCCCATATACTTCAGTGTCTTAGTTGCCCAGGTAACAGCTGCTGTTGCAGTCCTGGTTGCTCCTGACTCTCAGAAATGGTTGGTCACCGTGATGCACATTGTAAGAACCAAGACAGCCAAGTCCTCTGCCTCTGTACTTCTCCTGTCATCTCCAGAAAAGCCTCATTTTCTGGGCTTTTGGGGCCTGATATTTTGAGAATGATTATCAGTGCTGATGGATGGAAAAGAAATCTGCCTCAGAATCTTGGGTGTCATTGTGGTGTTTCTGCTTGCCATAGCAATCTCGTGGTTACCTTTTCATCCCTAAGATAATGGGGACTGGTGGATTGCTTGGGTGTTGGTTAACGTGTTCCCCTTCTAGGAGGAGGACAATGTATGACTGGCGCATGCCAGAAGTTTGTGGAAGAGCTGCTAATGTGGACTTCCAGGCTGAAATATCGGGATCCTTTCTTTTCATGTCTCCTCTCCTCTCCTCTCCTCTCCTCTCCTCTCCTCTCCTCTCCTCTTCTCT